GTGTAGTACTAGTGGAAGTGGCTTGGAAATTTCATATGTTTCAAGCTTCCACTTAGGGCAAACCGACTAGTTGATTATCCTTGCTTCCTTTAAGTTGTTTGAACTTTAATTTGTTTACGGCTGCCTTATTTCGTCTAGAATTGTGTAGTTTTAATTGCTCACATTTAGTTTAGTCTCAAAAACAAACAATTTGTGAAAAAAAAAACATACAAAATTACTACAGGACGTCAGCCGAGCTTCCCTGATCAATGAGTGTTTTCTGCCCTTTCGAGTTGGCTATCTCCACAACGATGACCATGGGGTCATCCTGGTTAGGGATGACGCCGGCGTAATCTTCATTGGAGAAGGAGATCGGCGGCGAACTTAGGTGCGAGGTCGAGGTGGTAGAGTGGACGCAGTTGATGTTCCGCAAGTGTCTTTTCCGGGCCGCGTTGTTGGCGCCTCCTCCAGCAAAACCACCTGCAATCGTGTTGATTACTCCCCGTAAGGGAGCCGACGCTGTTTCCTGACTTATATCGGCCTGTATCGCGCCGTTAGCGTTTTCCTGGGACCCTGTGGGTAAATCTGTGCGAGCTCCTGACCCGCGGCCTCTCCCGTGTCCCCGGCCTCCAAAGCCACCTCGGGAACCTGGCTGTCACTGGATGTAGTGGCCGAGGTGGCCTGCCTGGATGAGCTCTTCGATGCGGTCCCGAAGCGTGCAACACTCGTCAGTGGTGTGGTCGTAGTTCCTGTGGTACCGGCAGTGTTTGGACTGATCGGCGCTGTTGGGGGTGTGGCCGGGTGGTGGAAGGGCTAGTAGGTTATTGTTACTAGCTTCTTCCAGGATGTGGACTCTCGGGGCGTTTAGGGGAGTGTAGAAGTCATACCTCCCGCTTCTGTTGGCTCTGGCCGGCTTCTTGAATTGGCTGTCATTATTAACTTTTACCTTATCTTTGTGGCCCTGTTCCGGTTTTGCGGGGCCCTTCCCGCGAACTTGGTCGCGGAAGGCCGAGTGCTCTTCCATCTGAATGTAGCCGGCGGCGCGGGCACGCAGCTCATCCATGTCGCGGGGGGCGTCGCGGCATAGGCTGTCGACGAACGATCCGGGTTTCAGTGCCATGAGCATGGCGTGCAGGGCGACCTCCGGGTTTAGATTCCGGATCCGAACCGAGATGTTGGAGAAGCGCTCCATGAAAGCTCGCAGAGATTCATCATCGTTCTGCCTGAGGTTGGCCAAGGCGGCCGAGGTTGTGTGGTGAGGCCGGCTGGTGGCGTATTGTGCCACGAATCGCCGCATCAAGGTGGCAAAGCTGTCGATGGATCCGGCTGGTAGTTGGGTGTACCAATGAAGCGCGGGTCCCTTGAGTGAGGTCAGAAAAACCCTACACAATATAGCGTCACTGTTAGTGTAAAGGTTTACTTGAGTTGTGTACGAGTCGATGTGCTCGTCAGGGTCCGTGGTGCCGTCACAGCGATCGAGGTGGAGGGGCTTCCACCCCCGGGGCAGTGGGGTCTCCATGATGCCATCTATAAAAGGATGACGGCGGAAGGGTTCTTGGCCCTCGGAGACATGGGTGGGGGCCCTGCTAGTACCCTGCCCTGATCTGTGCGTTGATGCATGAGACCGGTGCGTGGCGGGCCGTGAAGTCGGTGCCTTGGTCGTCGCTCGGGATTGGGAGGCTGAATGTGCCTCCTCCTCATGAGTGTCGCTCTCGTGCGGAGGTTGTTCGGAGTGGTGTCGAGGGAGCTAGGCGCGAATGCGCTCATTCTCGGCACGTAACGCTGCGAGGTCTGCTTCATTAGCGGTCCGCATCGCTGCAAGGTCGTTTTCGTGCTGGGTGCGCATGTTTTGAAGGTCAGCGTCGTGCTGTTGTCGCATCTGCTCAACTTGGTTGATCAGCCGCCTTAGGGTTGCAGCGTCGCTGTCCATGTTGATTGAGTGGCTTGCGTCGTCTGTCGCTCGTCTGATGTGGCTTCTAGTAGAAACCATGCAGGTAGCCGATAAGAGTTGTCTTGATCGGCCCCACAGTGGGCGCCAAATGTTCTTACCGGAAATCTGCTGTAGAGCTGGTCTGTCCAGTAAGATCGGTGAGTCTCCTTTGCCCGGTGTATTGGTGCTCCAAGATGGGGGAGGTACCTGCAAAAGAGACTTCGATGCCAAAGTTAGGGTTTGCATGAGTAATAGTCTCATATATATAATGCACGTACCTTGAGGTGATCTAGGTTTGCCTTGGGATTTTGGGCTTGAGATAAGATATATCATGATATGATATGATATAATTGAAGGGCGGATCTGGTCTGGGACGAGATCCTCGAAATCAGGTATGATTTGCTCAAATACCGGGCTGACGTCATGCACCGCGTGCCCGAGGTCACCTATTTGCATTACTAATCCGGGCTAGGAGCCCAGGTGCGAAATACGGTTAGTACACTATTCATTTTAAAAAAATAAGTAATAAATTAAGAAATTGGATATAAGTAGTTAATATATTAAACTCAAAGTCAAACCGTTTGAACAGTCCTCAACTTCAATCTTTAACAGAAATATTTTTTTTATGACTTAAATTAATTTCTAGCCAAGTCAAATTAGCATAAATTGAAGTCTTAAGATACTGATACAAAATCAAATACAAAAATACTCATTAACAAATTTTACAAAGGTTGTTTATGTATACTTAATCACTTTTTTTTATATAAGAAATATGTTAATAAGTTATATCTCAAATGAATTTTAGAATAATCAAATATATAACTTGTTAATATATATACTTTCTTTTTAAAAGAATTTTGTTGACCATTTTTAATAGGTTCTCCCTTCTCAACTACGATTTTTTGATTCATAAAATGTTTGAATCTAAAACTAAGACTTTACTTCAAATGTAGATTTAAATATCATAATAACATAGATCACCCGTAATTTAATATTAAAAATGCATGTTATAAGCTTAAATTTTGATCCAATAACAAAGTAAAGTAAGTTTTAACACATGTTATGGAATAAACTATATTAGAAGGAGAATATATATATATATATATATCAATTTTGTATATATTCACAGATTCTAACAAAGATTAGTCACTACATTCAACAGTAGATATTTTATACTAATATCATAATAAAAAAAAAATAAGTTTCATTATCCAAAAAATAATAAAGAAAGTTTTTATTATTTAATGAAGTGTGATGTTTCATCATAAAAGGTTTTTACTTTTAAGTATAAGTTAATTATCCTAAACTTAATTATTGAATTTGATTTTTATAGAAGAAAAAAAGTTTTAATTGCTTTAATAACAATCAAATATTTTTTCAATGAAAAATATTAAATCTAAAATATGCATAATAAAAATGCAGTTGAAATAGAAAAACCTATTTAAAATGGTTAATCAATTTGGTGATTAATTTATATATTAACAATATGGTCAATGTAAAAAGAATACAAAAAAATTTGGGTATATACAAGTAACATCCTTAGACAAATTAAATTAATTTACTTAATATTTGTTTGAAAATTGTAACACTATGAATTTTAAATGTTTTAATTTTAACTACATGATATATTGTTAGTAAGTTTAAGTTTTAAGAATTTTAGAGAGAAGTTAGTGACAAACTCTCTAGAAATCATAATCTTCTCTTCTTTTTTTTTTTAGAAATCTTTCTTTTCTCCTTCTTTGTAGCTAACTAGTGTTGTTAAGTGGGTGATTCAAAACTTGTGGAGCTTAGAAAACTCCAAATCAAAAAAGTTGTTCTTCTTCCCTAAAATCAATAGCCGCCATACTTAGAGAACATAAAGTCATCGTTAAGATTGCCAAGACCAACCCATTTTTTAGCTAAACAATGCATGAAGGCTCTTCCCGATTCAGGACAAAAAGACGTTACCTTTGTTGAAAGGGATTGGGTCTTTCTTTGTCTACAACCGTATCAACAAACCATCGTGCTTCCAACAACAAGCTCAACCATTCTTTCTTCAATTTGTTTCAAATTCGTCGCTAATTGAAAAAAATAATATATTAAATGTTCATCTTTTATGATCGGTTACGCTATAACCTATCTTAAAAGTTTTGTTTTTTTTTTTGTTCGTCCCTGGAGTATCCATCGCCGACAGCAGTGACTAATCTCCTTGCTACGACTAATCTCTTTGCTACGTTGGAGGCACCTCAAAGGGTGGGATAGCTGGCCCCAAGATTTAACGCGGCTGCATACACAAGACAGGATTCGAACTCCTGACCTTGCTTAAGCGTGGATCAACCCCTACCGCTGAACCACACGCTTGGGGTTACCTTAAAAGTCTTTTAAGATCAGTTATAAAATATATTTATTTATCTTAAATTAAAATATAATTGATATATTTAAAAAATATTTATTTATATTAATTTTAAACATAATTTATATATTTAAATATATTATTTATTTATATAATTTATTATAAAATTTAATCATATAACAAATATCTAGTGGCAAAAATTCTAGTATTAAAAATTAAATAACCAATGAATGTGAGTTATTTTTTTTGGGTTCTAGTGGGAGTTGAGCCTTACTCCTTTAGAAAGTTAAAAGAAGAAAATAACCACTAAACTAAAGCTAATTTTATATCTTTAAATGACAGTTGTAAGTTATAAAAAATGATTTTAGTATCAAATTAAAAAAAATAGTTGTATTTATCTTTATTTTATTTTTTAATTATCAAATATTAATAAAATATTAATTTAAAATTTTAACTAATTATATCATAATATTTTTATATCAAATTTAAAATCAGTTATTATCTATTCAAAAGAATCAAGATAATATTGTAAATTGTTGATAAGATTCTAGTTAAATAATTTAAAATACTTAATTTATCAACTATATTCTTATCAAATAATTTGTTCCAATTCTAATCAATTTTTCTCTATATTAATTATTAATAAAAATTAAATTATATATTATCTCTTAGAATATTTATGTAAATTTTAAAACATTATTTTTATACTTAATAAATATTTTTATTATATAATATCAATAAACTATAAATACTATTTTGTGATTGCATACATGGTTAAAATTTCAGTTATCTTGATATATTAGTATATTAATTATATTCAAGCTATTTATCTCCTAATATTTATATATCAAATTAAATCTTTGATTTATTATATCTATTAGTTCATTGTTATAAATATAAATGATAGAAAAGAATGGCTCAATCCAAGAGGGGGTGAATTGAATTCAATGACACTTAAAAAAAATTTCAGAGTTTAAGGATCTTTATTTCATTCAAAACTTTTCTAAGACACCTTTCAAAGAAGTATATTGAACTGCTTGTACATGGGAATGACTTCTATATGAGTTCTTGGTTAATCTTTATTGAATCAGCTCTCACAATAACATGTATGCAATGACAATATTCACTTTTAATCAATTTTAACCATGCAAGCAAATTACTCAGAATCAATCATTGTAAATTTCAATTAAAGATTAATCAATACAAGAGATAAGGATGAGAGAAGAGTGCAAAGTATTTTATTCTGGTTCGGTCACTCCCCAGGTGACCTACATCTAGTCCTCAATCATAACCTGATAAAGATTTGTTCCACTATCTCAATGAAGAAGTTTTACAAGCATACCACACATGCAAACACTTCAACACTCAAGATAGACACTTTCTTGCACCCCAGAAAGCACTTCTTGTAGAAACCCACTACAAGAATTCCTTACCACTTGAGACACCTACTCAAGATTTCTTTACACATTACTCAAAGAATTAAGGGAACGAATTCACCTGGAAGCTGAACAAATCAGACTGTGAATTCTTGACAAATCTCAATCCTTCTCTTCCAAGAATGTAGTGATGATGATCTCTCTCAAAGCATTTCACAAAATATTTTTCTTCTTGGTTTCACAAAGAAAACACTCCAAGGTCACAAAGACTTCACAAAATCAGTTTTACTATCTTCTATTTTCTGTTCATCTATCTGTACTTGTTTCAAAGTGTGAAAACTATTTATAAAGTTTTTCAGACCTAGATAATCAATTTTTTTTAAGGATAATTGATTATTTTATTCTTCATTAATTCTGGAAATCACTCAAGAACAGAGTAATTGATTATTTTGCAGGATAATCAATTATTTCAGAGAGTACTTCCTAGAATAATCGATTATTTCTCAGATAATCGATTATTACAGCAAGGTTCCCTAAACCTATTGCTGGAATAATAGATTATTTTTTAATGATAATAGATTATTTTGAGTTAGTTTTCAAAATCTCGATTTCACACTTTAGAAAACTTTCCAAGTCATTTGAATCATCATCATACTCACTCTTAGTCAATTTAGATTAAGATTAACTCATGCACAAAGCATACACATGCAAAATAAACCCAACAAGGCAACACATCATATAAGAACATATAAGCTACTTATTATTTTGTTACAAAACACACTTTTCATTCTTTTTTTTGTTATAAAACATACCTTTCTTCTTCTTCTTCTTCTTCTTTTTTTAATAAGGCATACCTTCCTTTTAATATGCAATTGTAGATTTTTTTTTCTAAGGTTAGAGCATCTGAATGTTATTTTCCCTCAAGGTGTTACTTTACTATTATTATTTATAAGGAAGTAGAGCTATCAAAACGGACCAACCCGGCCCATGTGGGCCAGCCTACCTTGACCCACCTTAAAAATGGGTCAACCCAACCCGGCCCACTTTTAATTTTCTAAAAAAA